AAGCCAAACCAGGAGTCCCCAGGGAACATTTCTGTAGTCTTCACCAAGCTGTGGGAGCAATCAACCAACCCCCAGGCCTCTCTTGGACCTTCTGATCACAATCTCCATTCTCTCTCTGCTGACTTCCAGGCTTCCTTGCTTTGCAGTTCTATTATCATCTCATGAAACTTTAAAACTCTCCACCCTTCGTTCATTGTAGTCAACTTTAAATAAATTCAGAGTGTCACTTGTTAAAATAAATGACATTTAAACAACCTCAGCATGGTAACTCATTCCTCATTATCATAGCGCGCTCTCCTGAAAGGTCTATAGTACATTATCTCTACGAAATGGATTTTACCTTCAATATTAACCTCATTGCTTAGGGAGGAGAGGAGCTAAGCACTCTGGTGAGAGGTGGTGTAGAAATGCATAGGTAGATTGATAGGACCGCACAAGTGATGATAATCTGAAAGAAAAGCAGACAAAGGGTTTAGGTTACACATTAGGTAGCACATCAGAGCCATGCTAGAGCTGTGATGACTGAGCCAGCTGCCATGGAAGACCAAGAATGTGTGTTTCAGTTTGGCTACCCAGAGCCCACTGTGTTGATGCCTCCGTTGAAAGAGAAGTGACCTTCAGGGTGAGTGCATTAACTACCAGGCACCTCCCTTGGGGAAACTGAGAGCCAAGGTACAGGGTAATTAAGTAACATGCCTTAGACTAGAGGCGAGGTCAGCAAACACACTACCCCTGTCCTCATGGGACTCCTAGAGACCTTGCAATCTTTGTGTTGGAACATTTCCTGGCACACCTGGATGTACAGGGACATGGGCATGTGGAAGCCTGAGGTTGACTTCGGGAACCTTCTATGAGCATTCTCTATGTTAGTCGCCGAGGTAGGGTCCCTCATTTGACCCCAGAGCTCATCTATAATCGCTAGTCTAACTAGTCAGCTTTCTCCATGATTTCCTGTCTCCACTCTCTGAGTGTTAGAATTATAGGCAGGCTCCAACATCCACCCAGCATTTCATGGGTCCTAGAGGGGATCAGAACTCTGATCTTCATGCTTGCTTGACATGCACTTTATCCATCTGAACCATCACCCCAGATCCAGAGACCCTGCAGTTCTTTGCTTATGTCATCTCTCCAGGTCTTTTGACACAATACCATGCCAATTTCCTCATCTCATTCTCTTTATTTCCTCTTATTTTTTAAGAATGCAAAACCAATGGGATGACTACCAGTGCTTTGACTAGGAAGTTATTTTCTTTGCAGCTATACTCCCAGGCAGATAGGGGAGATGGCCAGTAAACAATGTTTCTATTTAATAACCCAGTGTTCAAGGAGACCTTCTGCTCTGGCAAAGGACTCCAAGCTGTGGCCCAGGATGAGTAGATGGGTAAATCTACACTCAACTGAGGCCCGAGGAAGTTTTGTATGGTGAGACTCATAGGTGTTTTCTCCCAAACACCTTTTGAAATCTGACATCTAGCATGTAGCTCCTTCCTAGGTACAGACTCTCTTGAATTCTGGCCAGGAGCTGTGAGTTTTGTGTATATTCCAAATAGGTGTGCACAATGCTTGTACTGTAAACCTAATTCTAAGTGATGGGAAAGCACAAGTCTAAAAGAAAGCATACTCTTTGAGGTATCTGCAGACTAGGCCCAGCAAAGAAAGGAGGTGAGTTTCACAAGCATGGGTATAGAGGAGTGTGGAACACAGGACAGGGTTCTTGGGATATTTATTTTATAGCAAAAATAAAGAAGCTTCTGTTATGATTGGCTCATAAGGCAGTGGGAAAGGACATTCACTATGAATAAGTATTACTTGAAAAGCTACTGTATTTTATAAAGTATAGAAACTCTCACCAATGGAGAGTCTAGGAATGAGAATTACAGTCTTAACTTGCAAATTACTTTGTAACCTGTGTGATGTTTTTCTCAGGTCTTCAACTAGGAGCTAGCTGCTGGAGACTTTCACGAATATTCCCTTCTAAGCACAAGGGTTCTATCTGGGCATGTAATATACTTACTCAAGAGACCCCTTTTTACATCTCACCACCTTTTCCTTACTGTGTATTATAATAAATGAATTCCTTGCTTGTGGCCATCTGGGCCACAGTGATTCTTGGTGTCTATCCTAGCAAGCTTTAAAATGTAAATTTGGCACAGGTTAGAGACACCTAAGAAGGGTGTCTCAGCTGATGGGCTTTCCAAATCAATTTGCCCTATGAGTATGTCTATGATGAATTATCTTGACTGTTAATTGATTTAAGGGCTCAGCCCATTATGGGAGGCACCATTCCTTGAGCATATGGTCCTGAGCTAGATAAGAAAGAGCCTGAATGAGGCAGCAAGTAATATTCCTCTACTGTTTCAACTCCACGATCCTACATGAGTTCTGACCCTAACATCCCTTTTGATGATGGACTGTGACTTGTAAGCTACAATAAATCCTTTCCCCCTCATAGATTGTTTTTGGTCTCGGTATTTTCACAGCAACAGAATTAAACTCCAATAGTATCTTGTACAATTTCCCTCAGATCAAAGATATTCTTATAAGGCCCCCCAATGGTCCAAAGCTTATCTTTGGAACTCACACAAGTTTAGTGTTTAAAATAACTATTTACCAGCAATAATGAAAATATTTGAGATACTCTTTAAAATTTTAGTTGTGAAATATCAATAAAATAATTGCCTAATTCCAAACCATGTACTATTCTAATTAATTCTGTGTGAGACATTTTTTCGGCTTCAAAGATTATTCTACTTGTATTGCATAACAAAATAATAGTATAATTAGGAATAAATTTGTCACTTTTATAAGTAATTCCTTTTTATTATGTGTTTGGAAGCAAAGCACAAGCATGATTAAAGTCTCTTTTAAAAGGTTTTATTAATTACTATGATTATTATGGATAATCAGGGTCCACAAACTACAGAATGAACCCCAGACAAGATGTACAAAGCCACAAAGCATGGCAGAAACAGTGAGGGACACTGGATCCGGGTTTGGCTATTCTTTGAGGCCTGGGTCTCCCTATCTACCTTTTCCCTCTTGGAAGGCAGAGAAGGGAGTCGACTGGCACTTTCCATCTCCTGTTCTTTGCTCTCAAGTCATCTCCTGGAGGCACAATGGAAGAAGCAGTGTTTATTCTCAACCAGCAACTGTCAGCCTGAAGTCAAAGGGCCCTTTCTCAGGGGGTCACCTAAGACCATCTGCATATCAGATATTTACATTATAATTCATAACGGTAACAAACTACAGTTATGAAGTAGCAAGGAAAATAATTTGATGGTTGAGGTCACCGCAAGACGAGGAGCTGTATTAAAGGGTCGAAGCATTAGGAAGGTTGAGAAAAACTGGTCTCTGTGCTTTACTGGTCTCACAGGCCTTTCTCCATTACCTCTGGTCTTATTTAATCAGACCTTAACACAGAGAACTGGAAACCCTCTGCCCGGGAGGGAACTTCTTCTAGGGCCACACTCACCTCAGTTCCCTAGTAACAGGCTACCCTTCTTTCATTTAAAATGCTCTGAGAAAGCACACTGATCAAGGTGACCTTGAGGAAGAAGGGACTTATTTGCTTTACAATTCTAGGTTACAGATCACCATTGTAGTGAAGTCACAGAGGCAGGAGTTCCATGGAGCTGGTCATACCACGCCCATAGGTAAGAGTAAAGAGAGATTAGTACATCCATGTTCTTTGCCTGTTTAACCTTAGTTGGCTTTCTTCACTCTTACCCAGTTCAGGCCCAGCTCATGAAATGGTGTTACCCACATTCGGGGAATGTATCTACACCCCAACTAACAATCAAGACAATCCCTATAGACATGACCATAGGTCAGCCTGTTCTAGAAAATTCTTCAACTGAGGCTCTCCTCTCGACTGACTCTAAGTTGTGGCGAGCTGATAATTAAAAACTAGCCAGGATAGGGAGGGGTGAGCTCCTCCAGGGCAAGGACTGTGATTGATTTTGATTTTTCTTTCTTAGATCCCCAACTGAGAGGCAGTCCCAACAGACATTCAAGAACATTAGCTGAGCCAGGAACATGCTTGTAGAAGCAGATGCAACAAGAGGACACTTAAGTTCAGTAGTTTGAGAATAGCCTGGAGAACATAGCAATACCTCAACTCCAACTTTAAAAAGATATAGTTCTTGAATAGATGGGCCAATTAATGGCATAATAAATTACCACTAGTGTGTATTGCCCACAATAGATGCACTGGTTTCTACTTCCGACTTTGGACCCCAAGAACCTTGTGTGAAGCCAACTATTGTGGAATAGGACTCTACTCCTCCATAATGTCTAGACTTTTCTACTAGAGAAACCATACTTTGACATAAACCATGTCTCCCCAGTATCCCACTATGATTTATTGCAAGACACGGAGGTTTGTAGAGCATCTTAGCTACCAGAATACTCAGACACCTCTTTCTTCAAGTCCTCCCTATCACAGGGGAAAAACAAGACCCAGGTATAGATGGAGCCCACCCAAACTCTTCCCTGAACTATGTCATCTAGAACACATCATGTCTAATGCTCATCATTGTGAGTTGCCAGGGGCCTTTCCTTCCAGAAATTGAAGAGACAAGTATCTCCAGGAGGACACAAAGGAGGGCCATCAGATATAAAAAGAGACAAGTGGGGTCACTAGGGAGAGCAGTGCTCCAGTAGACCTTTCCCTCCAAGACTTCCGTTCTCTGGTCTGTTCTTTATGTCCACAGAAATTCACAGGTATTCTTGGAGTCATACCACTGATAAGGCCATCTGTCCACTTCTTTCCCTAAGGCTCCTTGCTCTGCCTCTGTCTCGTCCCTCTGGAGCCCAGCTGCCCTCTCCCTCACTCAGCCCATTAGCTGAAAGACAGCACTATGTGCTAACAATGACTGACAACACACACTGCCAGATGATGATCCCCATGGAAACCACATAAAAATGAACACTAGACAGAAGATATATATATCCTATTTTAAGTACAGAGTCTGGTTTCCTCAACTTTCTCTGTCTGATTTCCTTTAGCCCAGGCCTCAGCCTGCAAGCGACTGAGCAAACCTCGGTGTGTACTATAGCCCAAGACTGAAGAAGAATGTGGACTGAACAGCGTGAAAGGCTCAACTCTGCAGGGAAGTCATTGCTACACTAGAAAGGCTGTTTCTCCCTCAAGTCCAACACCACTCCTAAAAGAAACACAGCAGTTCTGCCCACCACAGGAAACTATGGGGAAAGCCCTGATGGCCCCATAATGAGGAATCATAAGATAGTTTTCCACATCCTCCTGGATTCCCAGAATATTCTCCAGAATCATGTGGATGGTACCTAGGGATAGTATTAATATAATATATAACTTTTCTCTCCTTTAATGAGTTTTTTGAAATCCCTCAAAGTCTTTTCAAAAATCCTTCTCAAAAATTCCTATAAATACATCACCTACAGGATCCATAAGGTTCTGAAAAAAGAAAAGAAAAGAAAGGAAGAGAGACGGGGGATTCTGTTTCTCTCTGTGATAGGAGACATGGTAAGTGGGTTGGGGTATCACTAATGTACCATAGAATGGCACATGAACTTCCCCCCAGGTATGGTAAAGCACCAGACCTGGTACATACATGGAGAAGAAAAGGATTGAGCAGGGAAAGCCTCCTTTTGGAGTCTTGGTCCTGGTTTTAGATCTGGGCTTGATGATAGCATAAGCAATCCTGGATTTAAGTGGATATAGTAGATAGTGCTTGGTTTTTAGAGCAACAATTGAAAGCCAGGGCAGCCATAGCAGGAAGAGCTATATGGGATGGGGGGTGGGGGAGTGGGGGAGTGGGGGTTACCACTGGCCTTTCTTAAAATCATGTATTATTTGCCATATTTCTACTGTGCTAGTCTTTCTGGCTTCTCCCTTCATGTCTTGCACATATGCATAATTGTTTTAAGAGTGTTTGGCCACAGGTGTTCTCCATGTGTCCCCAGGATAAGCAAAAGAGAAAGAAAAGATAAGAGGTTTCATGGGGCTGAACCTATATGATTGTGAGACTATCCACAGATTTAGATATTGTCCTTTTTGGGAACTGACATAGACAGGTTGTCTTAAAGAACTTAAGAGTTCTCGTTTTGGGCCGGGCGGTGGTGGTGCACGCCTTTAATCCCAGCACTCGGGAGGCAGAGGCAGGCGGATCTCTGTGAGTTCGAGGCCAGCCTGGCCTACAGAGCGAGAGCCAGAAAAGACGCAAAGCTACACAGAGAAAAAACGAGTTCTCTTTTTACTCATACACCTCCCAAGAGCCTGTTCATCACTGACGGGGCACCCACAGAGTCATAATCCCTGTACTCCTAATCACTTTGGGGAAATGGCCAGAGGTTTGGGATGGTCAGGAACCCCTATTATCAATTAGGAGCATATCACCACCATGACTCCCCAGTTTCCAAAAGCAGCTCAATTCCTTCTACTGGTGCCTTTTGCCTGCTTTCTGCAGAATGTATATAGATGCCCCCAAACCCTTCTAGCACTTGCTACATCCATCTATTTAGTATTTCACTGAGCACTAGATTTATTCTCGTCCGATCTACACAATGACTGCTCCAAGAAGCAGAGGGTGTGGTTCCCATGTCTCTCCTATCCGTCACAGTGACCATGAAATGAGAACCATGTACGAATTCATCTGTTCATCTATTCTCCAAACCATTAGTGAGCACCCAGTCCTAGGCCAGGCTTTCATCTCGGCATTAGACTCATATTCAATCCCCGAGTTTGAAAGTTCTCAGTATCATGAGAGGACCGACCATGTGGCGCTGTCATGATCACGGCGTACAATGACCTGCAACAGAAGTAAAGGCAGAGTGAGTGCCCCTGGGCACATATCGAAGAAGAACAGACTCCCAGGGGTGGCAATGGAACTGTGTGCCAAAGCACTTCCGTAAATACTTGTTGATTAATTGGGGGAGGAGTAGGCTTCTTTGGGGACTACGGGGACAAACTGTCCTCATTAGTGGATGATGAGAAAAACATTTTCCTTATAGTGAGGGAGCTCGTGAGAGTCAGCAAGTGAAAATATGTGTGTTAATGATAACGAAAGGAGAAACCCAGATGTAAAAGGCTCATATACATCCTGAGTATCTGACCAGCTTCTTCCATCTGCCTGGTTCCAGGGGAGAGGGGTGATCCCCTCCTTTCTGGTTTTCCTCCCAAGTCCTTGAAGATGCTTGAGCCCAGAGATAGCCACACAGCAACAATCCAGGCCCCGGGAAACCATGTAGACTCAAGCTTGCCGCTGACCAGCCAAGCGATATATACAGATCCCTCTTTGAGACCCTGGCCTGCCAAGGGCTGGGGGCCTCTGTGTGGTTTGGGCTTTGCCTGCACAGTTTATTTATTCTGCAGCATATGCTGGCTCAGCAAATGAAGGCAGCTCCAATTTTCCATGTTCATTTTAGACCTCCCTTAATTCTCGTAAGTTACGTTCTGTAGCAATCCTGTCCTTATGGTTTATCAGTGAAACATCTGTGGTTTTTCGTCCTTTGAACTTCTGAGCCAAATGGCTTAAAACTCCCTACAGTTAGCAACCCTTTCCCCTGGATCCGGTGACGGACAGCATGGTGGTTAGGAATGAGCATCTTCTGCAAACTTGGCGATGCTTTCATTCTTACAGCTCAGTTCACACTGTCCTTGGATTGTATGTCCTCAATCTGCCTCCCGATCAATGTCGGGGAGTGGGAAAACACAGAGTGATGGGTAAGATGGCTTGTCTGGCGTGGGGAGGGCAATCTAATCACACATGTGTCATGTGAGGTGTACCTAGCCCTCCCCCTCCTCCCAGATCATGTCTGTCACTTATAATGGGTTCCTTTTCATGCTCAGCTTCACAGTTCTTAGGACTACCACGCTTTCTGTGGGGCAATAGTCACCCAGGATTTGCAGCTGTCCATATTAAACAGAAAGAGACAGAACTGGGTCTGTCAAACAACAAACTGAGAAGGAAGACTTGTACTTTTCATTCTATTTATGCCTAAACAGCAGCAACTGTAAAAGAACACTTTACATTAAAAGGCATGGTAGTGGCCAGCGATGGCCGTCCACATCTTTAATACCAGACCTTAGGAGTCAGAAATACGAAGCTTAGGAGTTCATGGTAGGGAAACAATTAATTTCCAGAAAGTTCAATGGTCCATCTCTGCCAAATAGCATGGCATTTTTTTTAAAAAATCAACATTTAAAGCTAAAAATGAGGTCATGAAGCATCCTTGTCCCTCTATCTTTTGAGTTCAGAGTTCAAGGGTATCAAGTCCAGCCCTAAAAAGTTTGCACTCAATTTGAACATTTGAACTACTTTATGATACCCACTAATTTGATTTATCACACTGACGTCCATGCCCTGAGGGTCTAAATACCCCAGGGTAGCACTTCCAAGGTTTCAGTTCTTATCTCAAGAATCTCATCTAGATTAGGGACAGAAAGGACAGGGAATTAACTCAAAGGAACTAGACCACTGGAAAGTGACAAGGCAGAAGTCCAAGCAGGGAAGTGCTATTGTACCTGTGGTGTCTCTAGATTCAATACATGCAGTCTTGGTAGAAGTTTGGCTTCCTGGCTTAAATGTTGAGCTTAAGAAAGCTGGATGATGTTGGATACATTGGATACATTGAAGACAACAGAAGGCTGAAATGGGGAAATTTAAAAACTGAATTAAGAAAGGAAGCAACCATAACGGATAATCTCACCTATTTTGCCTCCTTGATTGTTTTGTTTTGCTTCCTTCCCCACCCCCCATCCCTGGTTTTGTTCATCCCATTGTGATCCAGGCTAATCTGTGACCCAAGAGCTGCCACAAACATTGGACTCTATAGAATCACTACATTTTATCAGAGACCCAAGGTAGGCACTGGCCCTGCTCAGGAGAAGAACCCAGGATATCCGCCAAATGCTTTTTAGCCAGGAATATCAATTTCCAAGACTAGGGCTGTCACTCACTGGTAGAGTGTTTAACCTAGCAAGCGCAAAGCCCTGGGTCCAACCTCAGCAATGCAATAAATAAATAAATAAATGTATAAATAAATAAGCATATTTCAAAAGCATTTAATAGGGGGAAGAAAACTTCTTAGTGAGAGATAAAATTGGAAAGCTGCTACTCTGTCATAGGAAAAGCGTTTTAAAGTCATGCATTCACCTACAGGTACAGAGCATGGACTCAGATGTTGGAAGAGGAAACGACAGTTTCCAATGCCCCTACTGAACATGGATTCGTTAGAACAATTACAAAAGGTACATATTTAGCCTCCTCCAGTGCTGCCTAAGGCTGGCTCTGTTGAAATGTGTCTATTGCTCAATACACCACTATGACTGCCTCTGTAGAAACAGAGGTGAATTTACCATCATCTGCATGGAAAAGAGGCCCACTGGAAACAGCAATAAAAGTCCAAGCATGCAACCCACCAACATAAGCCTTCTTCAAACAGACCTACCCCTGACTGATGCAACTAGACATCAGTGATAATGCTACATTGCCAAGAGGCTGTACTGAACTAAGGTTATAATGAATGGGGGGCATTAAACTTGGGGTACATTTTTCTTCATCTGAAAACTATTTACTACATTCCCACCTCTGCCTTGAGTCTGCTAGACTTAGACATGGAACTTGTACATCATGGTACCTAGGCCATATCAATAAATCAAAGGCTCAGAAATAGACCTCAATCTCAACAGAACTTGGGTCAGAGACTTTGGACAGCAGGTAGAATGGTTTCTGGGTATATCTGTCTCCACAATTAATTATCACTTCACTAGAGCAGTGGCTCTCAGCAGGATAATTTTCTCTCTCACTCAAGGGATACTTGGCAGTGTTTGAAAGCATGTTTTATTGTCACTATTGAGAAGTCACTGCTGGTATTTAGAAGGGACAAATCAGAATGCTGTTAAGAATTCTGTAATGTACAAGCTGTTACTCTGCTTGTAAAAGTGATCTAGTTTCTGATGCTGACAGTGTCCAAGTCTAAGACATCACCACAAGTCTAGAGTCACCACAATATTCCAGGAGGACAGGGTTTTCAAGGTGTAGCTGGAAGCTGGAGAGACCACTTGGGAACATCCATCCAAACTACCAGGGTTTTATGCCCATCTAATCCTCTCAACTTATGGCATTATCTATAAGGCTGTTCCTTGTTTATACATACATGTAATCTGTGTTCATGCTACAAATGCTCAGCTTCATATACTATTCATTGTAAAGGAGCGTTTCCTGTTCCGACTGCCCAGTCCCAAATAACCAACTCAGAGGCTGAATATGAATTAGAAATGGTCCATAGCTCAGGCTTATTACTAACTACTTGTTACATTTTAAGTTAACTCACATTTCTTATTTATGATCTGCCACATGATAGTAATTTTATTAGCATGGCACATTCATCTCCAGCTCCTTCTGCATCTGGCTGGTGACTCCTGACTCCTCCCTTCTCCTTCCCAGCATTCTCAATTTGGCTTTCCCACCTAACTTCCTGCCCAGCTACCAACCTGTCAGTTTTTTTTTAACCAATGAGAGTAATACATATTCATAATATAAAAAAGGATTGTTCCACAGCAATTCTTAATGTAGCAACAGAGCCAGTTACAAGGGGGAAAGAAGGTCAGGAATTGCCTTCAAAATACTAGTTACTGCTTTGCACAAGGCATATAACTCTACTGTCTTAGTGACTATTCGTTTGCCATGAGAAGATACTATGACCAAGATAACTTATAAAACATTTAATTGGGGCTTTCTTACAGTTTCAAAGTATTAATCCACGACCATCATGGTGGGGAGCAAGGCAGCAGGCAGGTGGTAGCTGAGAGCTGACATCTGATCCTCAAGATAGAGGCAGAAACAGCAACTGGGCCTGGTACGTCTTCTTGAAACCTTAAAGCCCACCTCCCAGTGACACACTCCTCCAACAAGGCCATTCTCCTGAATAGTTCCACTAACTGGGAACCAAGCATTCAAACATATGAGCCTAGGGGGGAATTCTCACCTGAACCACTGCACATCGGGCTTCCTTTCTAAAGCCTTACCATAACTTATGGATAGATTCTGCCCATGAAACCCATTCTAGTCAGCTGGTTAGTGCAGGTATCTTACCTTTTGGTGAATTAAATGTGGTTTACCCATTACGCCTGTGCTGGATAGCTTTATGTCAAACTGACCCAAGATAAAGCCATCAGAAAGGAAGGAACCTCAATTAAGAAACTGCTTCTATAAGTTTGGGCTGTGGGACATTTTCTTACTTAGTGATTGATGGGGCAGGGCCCAGCCCATGGTGGGTGGGGCCATCCCTGGGCTAGTGGTCCTGGGTTCTATAAGAAAGCAGGCTGAACAAGGTAGAAAAGCAAGCCAGTAAGCAGCACCCTCCATGGCCTCTATGTCAGCTCCTGCCTCCAGGTTCCTGTCTGTTTGAGTTCCTGTCCTGACTTACTTTGATGATGAATTCTGATGTAGAAGTATAAGCCAAATAAACTCCTTTCCTCCCCAACTTGCTTTTTGGTCATGGTGTTTCATCTCAGCAATTCTAACCCTAACTGAGACAGCCTGTCTCTTGAGTCGGGGTAAGATGTTGGTCCTTTGTATTCAAAGTGACTCCATGTGCATACCCACATGTTTGTGACTTCTTCCACATCGTACCTCTATAAGGATACTTCATTCCCTGTTTGCTCCAATGCACTTTTCGATCTTCACCTCCTCACACTTTCAAACTTGTATTAGCCAAACCTTGACATTTTTCGACCAGCCACTGGCCATTGAGAGCACTGAGTATAGAAAAAGAAAAGTAGCCAGGCGGTGGTGGCGCACGTCTTTAATCCCAGCACTCGGGAGGCAGAGCCAGGAAGATCTCTGTGAGTTCGAGGCTAGCCTGGTCTACAGAGCGAGATCCAGGACAGGCACCAAAACTACTGTCTTAAAAAAAAAGAAAAAGGAAAGTAACTCATCAGCTTCTCTGGTTATTATTAATCATCTAAACCAGTAGGTCTCAACCTTGGGATCTCAATCCCCAAAGACCATCAGAAAACAAACACATTTACATTACGATTCATACTTACTCACAAAATTACGGTTATGAAATACAAATAAAAATTATTTTATGGTTGGGCGTCACCACAACATGGGGAACTGTATTAAAGGGTCACAGCATCAGAAAAGTTGAAATTGAAAAATGAAGTCAGCAGTGATGTATATGTATCCTGTCAACTTTACAAGAAACATACTACTCTCCCCATTTTACAGATGAGTAAATAGTTGCTCAGGATCACTCACTTTTAAATTTCAGACAATCGGTTCCAACTTAGCCACACTGCATCTATCGGCAACACCAATTATTACTTCACTACAGTTTCCCTCATGGTGTTACCCATCTAACAGAGGGGCAGGCGTGTACGTTTAAATCTCCTCAAATCAAGTCAGGCTGATGAGCTCTTCTTGATCCTTATCTACAGGCTGCAGGCAGATATCCCACTGAGAACTCTAATGCACCTTTCTGAAAGCCTCCTTGAGGGCCTGGTGAGCACGTGACTCAGTGAGGCACAGTCTTATGAATAGTAATGAAATCCAATCAGGAACAGAGGCCCGGGATTTTAATTGAGCTATCCTTTAAAGGACTGCTTTTCTCAGTGTCAAGGTCATGTTCTCCTAGCTAGCGCAAGTTATTTTATGTGCGGAGCAGAGATAATAGACATTAGAGACACATTGGGGACAAGTGGCATACGGTATGGAAGAAAGGAGGAAATATACGAAAAGCAATCATTGAAGTATACACTATAGACCTTCCCATTGATAATTGGTTTAAATTATTAAAGCACATAAGAGGTTATTAACTAGAGAGAGTATAAATTACTTTTTTTTTTTTTTTTGCTGAGCATGACTTTTCAAAGTCTCCCAAACTTCTATTTAAAAAAAAAAAGAAAGAAAGAAAAAAGCTTAAATTTAAAGTCTTTAGGAAAAAAAATCTTTAAAAACTTATCACCAGAGTGGATGGATGAGAGAGCAGATGCCTCATGAATTTGAGATCATGTTACCTGCCACGAGAGTATAAAATGTGAAATGGTATTTAAATAATGCTAATGGCGCTCAATGGGTGGCTGGCAGTGGCCTGGTCTGCCAACCAGGGTTGTAGGCCCCCTGGGGCAGAGCACACCCAAGGAGGAGTGAGGCTGGCAGCTGAGAACAGGCCCTCTCAGCTCTCACTGTGATGATCCACCCAGCAGTCCTGGCCTGTGAGGACAAAGTGGACCTCACCATGCTCACTGCTGTGAGGTGTGGGAGAGCATGTGAGCAATCTCATCAACCCCAGGAGACCTCAGGAAGAGGCAGCGGCCTGAGGAAAATGAATGACATCTCCCATCCTCCTCGTGACTGATTGCTGATTTATACCCCTTCTCTGGGGCCCTTCCTGACTTTTCTGCAAATAGCCCTGATGAGCCTGCTCTTATCTAAGGCAGCCCCAATCTTCCGGGGTTTTGCATTAGCATTTTTAGGATGTACTGTTCCGGCAAGAGACCTTCTATCTAGTAAGGCCAATTATCTCCTTAGATTCCTACTTCTATCTTTATTCATTAACTCCTGATTCCTCTCTCCGAAATGAGCTCATTTGGGCTGCTAGCCTCTTCTTTGAATGACTTTCCTCCTCATGGCCTAAATCCAGGATCTTTTTTTGCTCAGCCTCCCTCTAGGTGGGCTCTGCTGCCCTGTGCTTCCTCACCTCTGCCTTTGATTCATTGGTGGCATCCCCAACTGCAAACTTAAGATGGCGATGGAAATTGCCCTTCTCTACCAATCCCAGGGTAAGGCTTGATTTTTTTCCTGGCCTCCAATGTTGCCAAAAATGCAACAATTCTTTTAAAGATGGTTAAGTTGTATCAGTCATTACTTGGACAAAATGCTAGGAAATGCATGTGCAACTGCACACACACACACACACACACACACACACACACACACACACACACACGCACAAAAGTTGTCATAGTTATTATCCATTATCTATTATTAAACGTTTTTTTTTTTCCTCTCTGATCATGCTGGAAGTTGAACATACAGCCTTATGCATGCTAGAAGAGCACTCAACCACTGAGCTGTGCCTCAGTCCTCTTAGCTGTATTTAGTTGTTTGTTCATTTTTTTAAGTTTATTTTGCAGCTATTCCTCCTCCAAGTCTGATCAGATTCTCATGTGCTCTCAGCTGCCTTGTTCAGGATCTGAATCAAGGTAACAGCCAGTAAGAATCCCCCCTTCCTCAAATCAGAATTTTTATCAAGCTGAAAATCAGAAAGTCTTTTCTACTGCAGAGTTAGCATTCCTCTGCAAAGAGGAGACTGGCCTGCAGAAACACAATAAAGCTGCTCAGATAGAAGGGACAGCCAGACAGAGACAAAGAGTGAGAATAGTAATGGGATCTGAGACTCCGCTTCCAGTGGCTCTCCTCGCCTTCCTATAATTAGAGTATTAGTCTCTTGTTTGATTATGTGACCTTATTAGAGTCCTTCCAATAAATTCACTTCTTAATCAAACTCTGTTTTCTTCACTTACTGCTGCTTGTATCCAAAGGACTCCTGAATAACAGAGGAATAGTTGCTTGAAAGAATGCACTCCTAAATAGTAACAGCACTTATCTATGGGATTTTTTTTTCCTTTTCTTATCTGCATTTGCCACTGCTGTAAAATGAATGTGGAATATTTATATAATTTCATGAAAGTGTACTCTTTTTGTCATGATGATTTGTCTACTGATTTGATTAAAATAGAAATACTGATCAAAGGAATAATGAATGTAATTGGAAAGAAATTCGGTAGATATGAGTCTGTCCATTAGAACTAGGTCAGGATCATATGCTTGTGTGTATTTTGCAAATATTTATTAAGTTCTAAGCACTACCAGGCTCTGGTCATGTAAGACTGAGTAAATGTGGACATGATATCTACTGAGCTTGTAAGCTAAAAGTGATATAATTATACCACTAGCCACCCCAGTAAATGTAAGGTTGCTACTATAATGAGTGCTATGAAGAGAAGACATTTGGGAACAGAGGAGACATGACCAAGCTAGAAAAGTCAGGAATACTGAGTAAAGAAAGTACTAAGATCTGGAAATAAGCAAGAGATCACGGAGGAAGGGAAAAAAGGACATTCCTGGGAGTGGAGACTTGTGTATCAAAGGCTCATGGCAGCAGGGAATATGGGACACCCAGGATGATAAATAAAATCTGGTGTCACTGAAGTGAATGGAGCAAGAAAAGGACAGTAGGAATGGAGCTGGAGAAGCTAGAATTCTCAAAGCCAGAATAAACCCTTCCATCCTTACTTGTTTTTGTCAGGGATTTTTCTCATAGCAATGAGACAAGTAACTAATATAACAATGAAGTGTGATTAGCATTGTATCTAATAAACCTCACTCTGAATGTGGTATAGAGACCAGGCTTGAGAAGGTTCTTTGAAGGCACAGCTTAATTAATGACAGGAATCCTTGGATCGGTCATCAGCCAGGTGAGAAGTGAGAGTCACATGCCCTAGAACAGTTGTGATGAACATGGAAAAGATTCAGAAAGAAATGTAAAGTAGCTACTCATCGGTCTTCTTTCTGAAAATTTTATTTCTATAAGAGACAGAAATTCCTTTGTCATATGCTGAGCAATTTGAATCTATAAACAGATGACGTGATCAAACATAATTGAGTCACAATTTGTTGAGTCTTGTTTCTATCAGAAGTAATTAAAGAAGAGTTAACAACAGAGTTGGAATTCAAGTTATGCACTAAAAAATGGCTCAGGTCCTGTGAAAAGGGAAAAACAATCCTACACAATTAAGCAGTAAGTAGGAGGCATTCTCAAACTGGGCAAGTTATTAAGTTTATTTAACAGGGGAGTTAAATAAAGGGATTAACAGTATTTCTAGAAAGCCAGGAGATAAGGAAGAACCATAGAGCTGACAAACTGTACTACAACCAAGAGAGCGTGCTAGGCAGAGAAACATTGACCACTCTCCTTGCTTCATTTTCCTTTTTCCCATCTGATTAAGATTGATGAGATCCATTGCTTCAACAAACCAATGACATCCAGTAGGAATGAGTGCTTTCTGATGTAATGTATATCCATGAGACCTCTGGAGTACAAGGCAAGGAAGGAGGTACCTATGAAAGAAATCCAAA